ATTACATAATGATATAAATATCATTTTAATATTTGGATGATAATTTCTCTACTTGCCCCAATCCTGTGTGGCTACCCACTCACTCACCTTCAATAGAAGTGTAGAGTTTTATCAGGTCCAGATTGCATAAAAATGTTCATTTGCAAGAAATAATCATTACATTATAATATTTTCTAGTTTGAGGAAAGCTTGAAATTCCCACAATTAAATAAATTTCTCCCTTAAGGATAAATACACAGAAACCAAGGGAGTTACAGGAACTATAGATGCCTCCTGAGAAGAATGGCAGAGTGTCATACAGGATTTCTTCAGTTATGTGATCTGGAACCAACCACCTTAGTGTGATCAAGTCTGCCTCAACTAGATTATATTTTCAGGGACAAGGTGTTTATCTATTTAAGAAGAGGTCCCAACTAACTGAAACTAACCAATGGCATTTCTAAATTGATTGGTACAATGCAGAATCAAAATAAATCATATAATGTGCTTACAATAATGTTGAGCCACACAATATGTGTTCAACACATACTACCTATTGCCATGCTTATGATTATAATGGTGATCATTTGTAAGAAATCTCTACTGGGTGTGGGATAGGCATACTATAAAACTGTTTCTTAGTTTGTTGTCAAGAACAGCAAGCTATCTATATGATTTCCTTATCCTTCTCTTGGATCTTTTCTCTGTGACAGTTCAAAATCATTGTAGTGTACTCATCCAAATGGAGAAAGGTCAAAAGGAGATTAAGTTTTTTCTTCTGCCAGAATAACTGTTTATCAGGAGGAAATGAACTGTCAGAACTATAGGAAGACATGGGTCTGTTCATTCATCTTTGCCCCCTTCTGCCAATGCAGGATCACTTCTAAAAGAACATTCTAAAGTGATTCTTTTTAAATGACTTCAACCAGTGATGCTTCCAAGTAGATTGATATTTGTCATAACTAGTTTATTGGCTCTTGATAATCACAGATTGACTTAGTGCTATTACTCTCTGATATTATGACAAGTCAGTTCATAGAAGTGATTACAAAGGAGAGTATATTACTGAGGAGCCTGAGTCCTTCACAACTAACTAGTTACCATAAAGTAACCAGATCCTAAAGAATGTTACCAAAGTACAAGTTACTCTGCTTTTAATCCATTATTAGGCTTCCACATACTGCCCAAACTTTCTCAGGTTGAGTGATTGGTTTTTGAAAATGATGATATATGTCTAATTTTGAATTAAGATTAGTTTTTGTGTAACAAAGTGGCCTAAATTAGCATCCCAGTTTCACCACTTACTGCCTGTGTGTCCTTTGTGCAAATTATTTAATATTTCTATGTCTGTTTTTTCCCCATTTTTAAATGGAGATGATTGTAGTTGCAGGTATAGAGGGTTGGGAATTAAATGAAATAATAAGTGGTATTAGCAGTTAGAGTAGTGCCTGATGTATAGTAAGTGCTAAACAGTGTTAGATACTATTGCTTCTATTATTAGTTTTATTATTATAAAATCACATATTTCCTGGTCAAGCATAAGTTGCCTATTTTTAGACATTGATAACACTTATTATGGTGGAAAATGACCTACTTTATGATTCAAAAGACCCTACTTCAGTATTGGGTCTGCCACAAATTAACTTTATATGAGATAAGTCAGATATCTTAAAATCACTGAAACTAACATATATATATATATAAATGGAAATATACCATTTTCTCAGAATTGAGGTAAAGTTCAACTATATTATATATTCAAGTTTACATGTCTTATTTAGTACTTTTTGATAATCAAATCACACTTGTAATGGTTTTCTCATTTTATTTACTCAGCTCCCTTGTAAGAGTAACTAAGAATATGTTATTACTCCAGTTTTATAGCTAAGTACCTAAGACTCAGAATAAACTTACATAACTAAAACATAACAACTAGAACCTAGATTTTCTTCAGTTATAAGAATTAACTCATTTATTCATGATTTTCTGAAAGAGCCACCATAGTTTCCCTCTCCAATGGAATATCTTTTTTTTATACACTCATATGTAGCTTAACAATGAGGATATATTCTAATAAATGGGTTTTAGGTGATTTCATAATTATGAGAACATAATAGAATACTTACACAAATATAGATAGATGGCATAGCTGTTAGGTCAGGAGCTGACAGATCCATGAAGCCTCATGTGTAGCAAAATGCTGCTTATTTTGAGCATCTGGTACAGATGGGTGGAGGCTGAAAAAGGCGTCCACGAGAGAAAAGGGAAGAACCTTGGGTTTTATAGAGGGTTTTTTTGAGGGATGTAAACAAATTCTTTTCAAACAACTGGGAGGGATAAGGAAAGTAAGTTCTCCTCATGCATTCCATTCCTTTATCTCCCTAGGGGTCTGGCAAAGACTATGTGCCTCATACACTCCTAGGAAGGAGAGAGGGTGGGTTTTATAGGAGGTTTGGATGGAAGTTTGGAGAGGGTGTATTCTTTAAGCCTAACAATAGCCTACCATACACCTAGGCTATTGCTCTTAGGCTACTGAATTGTACAACATGTTACTGTACTAAATACTGTAAGCAATTGTGACACAATAGTAAGTATTTGTGTATCTAAACATGGAAAAGTTACAGTCAAAATATAGTATTATTATCTTATGGGACCGCTGTCATTTACACAATATGTTGTTGACCAAAACATTTTTATTCAGAGCTTGCTTTTGCTAGGATAGACACAGATGATGATGATGATGATGATGATGATGATGATGATAATAATAATAATAATCATAAAGGGACTAGATTTTCCTCTGCATCTGAAAGCTGAGGAAGCTATAGACTGAATTTGAAGACCAATAATATTAATAAATTATTTAGCAATCTGTTTTGAATGATTTCATTTCTTTCATCAACAAAATATATCTAAGCTCATACCAGATACCAGTTTTAAATATGTTTTGTTATTCAAGGCACCAGGAGTGCCAGCAGTGAATAAAACTAATGGAAATCCCCATCTTCATGAAGTTTACTTGCTTAATGGCATGAAAAAAATAATTTTAAAAATCTATTTGCAAAAGACTTTGTATTCTAGATAGTAATAAGTGTTTTTAAGAAAAATTAAGGAGGGAATAGGAGTAGACAGTTCCAGGTGTATGGTGTCCCACTTATAAGTAGGGCAGACAGGGAAGCACTCACAGAGAAAATGAATAAATTTCAGTAAACACCCAGTGGAGATGTGCAAGAGATTCATTTGCACTGGGGAAAGAAGATTTCAGAGAGAGAGAGAGGAGAGAGAGCAGCAGAAGCAAATCCAATCCAACATGCCTAGAATATTTGAGCTACACTCAGGAGGTCATCATGGTGTAAGCCAAGAAACCAAGGAAGGGAGATCTAAGAGTTAACATGGGACAAGATCATGGTGGATTTTTCGGATTCTTTTAGTGATTTTGGCTTTTATTAGAATAATATGGAAGTAACTGGTAGGTTTTGAGCAAAGAGGAGACATAATCTGATTTACCTTTTAATATAATCACCTGGCTGCTATTTTGAGAATAGATAAAAGGAAAGGATGGACTAAATCAGGACTTAATTGCAATAAAACTTAAGGGAACCTATAGGGACTGAAATCAGTAGTTTAAAAGTAGAGATGGAGTAAATTTGTCACATTTTAGATTCATTTTGGATCTCTCTTGAAGTTGGAGCCAATGGAATTTGTTAACATACTGGACATGGCGTATGGGAGAAAGAGTAAAGGTGACTCTAAGTCTTTTTGAATAAGAAAATTGTAGGATCTTGTTCTTACCTGAGAAGAAATGATAGGAGTGCATCATTGGTGATGGCAGGGAACCCAGTTTTGGATATTCTAAATGTATCTTAATAAATTTCCTGTTAGCACTCTAAGTTGGTGTATCAGGTAGACAGCTATAAGTGTGCTGCTCAGTGCAATCCTGGGCCAAAATATAATTTTGTCTTTCCAGGTTTATAGTCATAAATGTGGATTAGATCTTGAAGGGAGTTATTCTAATAGAAAATAGATGGTCAAGAGGTGAGTCACCTTGCATTACATTGTTATAAGAAAGGAGGAAGAAACCTCAGAGGAGACTAAGTGTGACCCATTGGGGGAGGAAAACTGGAGAGAATGATGCTCTGGAAGCCAAGTGAAAAAAGTATTTTATTAATAATTGGGAAGAAACATTAAATTATTATAGTGAAAATGAAGGCAGTACTAACTAAATGCCCAATTACACCAGGATAGCGTAACGAATAATTGAAAGTTATAGTTGAATGTCTATTTTATACATAGGCAGATGATGATTAAAGAAAGTAAACACACACACATACACACACACACACTGATAAAACATTCCCCCTGCCTTCAAAACTCAAAGGCACAGAGATAGAATTAGGAACATTGGTTATAAGTCTCACATGACAAGAAAATGTCTTTGGATTACAGATGAGGCATAAATTAATTTTGATTGGCAATTTCAGTGGGAAAAAGGTAATATTTGAGCTGGATATTAAAGAATAACTATGAGTTTGTTGGATGAAAAATGGGAATGGACAAAAGAATAATGACATTTCAGGCAGATAAGATAGCATGAGAAATAGCATGGAGGAATGAAAAGGTAGAACATGCTCAAATGAAGAATAAATTCATTTGACAAAAATAGACTGTGCAAAGCAAGAGAGGGTAAACTGCTGCAGATAGACATGGTTTTTTTTTCCTTTGTAAAAAATCTTTCTCAACAGTTCAGTAGAAAGTAAAATTTGATAAAGTGAGATATTTTTCCAGAACCAACTATTATAATTACCATCATTTTACAAAAAGCCTTTTATATTCTGGGAAAAGCCTCAAGCATGACATATTATAAAATGAATATACACTTGGATAAACAGCCTGTATAGAAATATAAATTGTTCCCTGTAGGTTACTCCATTAGGCAGGTTTTAATTTCAAATACCTTTTCTTGGGCTATTTTCTAACTTCCTTAAATGTAATGCCATGTTTTAATTTTATCTCTTTCCTAGAAATGGTTCTCTTTATTGCAAGGCTACAAAATCGCCCAGTGAGAGTGGGGCCAAATAAGCTGAAACATCATCCAATACACTGACTGTACGTGAGTGCAACATTAATGCCTTTAAAAACAGTAAAAAGAAAAGTTGCTTTCTATGTGACTTAAAGTACCTTAGAATAGCTTCTGTTGGTGAATTAATATGGTTAATTGCTCTGTACTTGGCATGGGACAGCCTCTTGCTTGTGAGTGTAGGGTTGGTGCATACAGCTGTGAAGAGCTCCATTTCTTCTCTAAGCTTATAGAGAGCAGTTTTTCCTGGAGTCACTTTGTCCTTGTAACTTCTCTGCTTCTAGTAAAACCTTGAAAGCCTGCTTTCTGACTGCAGCAGTGGCTTTTATTCCCACTTATTCCTCTCCCTGATACCTACCGAACCTATTATATACCCTTCATTTACCTTTCTCTTTCACCCTGGTCCATCAGACACCATACTTACCTTTATTTGCCTCTCTGAATCCTAAGTCAGCCACTATGATTTCTGTAACCTTCTAGTCCTCTATCTTTATCCCCTGCCATATTTCCCTTGCTGTTTTGAAGTTTATATTTATTTATGTGATTATTTGATGAAACTTCTACTAGATCAAATATTCCATGTAAATAAGGATCATGTTTGTTTCCTGACATATCTTAGACATTCAACATGGCCGTGCTGCCTGAGCCTAAGTGGAATTTGGCCACTAACATGTCCCCGCTCCTTCATGGTTGTTCAAAATCTCTATTCTTCTTGGACTCAAACCTTTCCCCAACTTCCTTAGTTTCAAAGAAACCAACATCCTGTTTTATAAAAAAGATGAGGCTATCTGATGTGCATATAACTGATTTTTTCTTCTTTAGACCTTAAAATTTCTCTGTATCTTTACCTATACTCTATTTCTTATTTTCCAAAATAACCCCTTACATTAAATTTTAATTCTAACACTTTGCATTTCCTTATCAACATTATTAAATCAGCTATTCTTCTCTAGATTTGCATTTCAATATTTCACTGCTTCCTTCCATACAGGCAAAAACAAAACAAAACAAAACAAAAACATGTTTATGTTTCCTTTATCCTGGAAACATTCAACCAGTTAAAATCAAAACAAAATAATCTTCCTTCGTCTCACTATTCTCTTGAGGTTTCCTTAAATTAGCCTCCTTTTACTCATTCAAACTTCTCCAAAGAACTGTCAATATTTGTTGTCAATACATGTAAATTCCATAAGAAAAAGGGACTATTTTTATTTTGTTGTACAGTATATTTCCAGTATCTAACACAGTATCTAAAATGTTAGGGGCTTAATAATTAAATTAATTAATTTCAACTCCCCTCTGGCATCACACTTTGAGTAGTAAAATTTTGCTTCAAGCACCTCTTAAATTACCCCCACCAAGATAACCAACTGCAATAGTTCCCACCTGTGTTATCAATCCATAGCAATGTTTCAAATTTTCTCTTATAGCCCGTATCATAATCTATCCTAATTACTTTAAACTGTGTTTATGCCTCATCACTTTGTCAGAGTCTCAGCCACTTGAGGTCAGAATAATTAACTTGGTTATTTCTTTAGCCTCCCTAATTCTAAGCTAAGCGCTTACTATTCAATATTTACTGATGAGTTTAATTAATATCTTTAAGTGCTAACGGATCCTCTAACATAGCCCTGATGACATTAGTATTATTTTTGATAAAATATTTTGTCCCTGAAATAAAAATGTGGGAATTAATAGAATCTCCTGTTATAAATCATTTCAGAATCATCAAAGGAAGAATTTTTAAAACTCTATATTGAAAGAGTCATGGCAGAAATATATGTGCTTTGTAATTACAGTATATGTCAATTGAAAATCTATGATAAATACAATATATTTATGCATGTGACCTTGGACAGATGCTGCATAAATAAACCAAATAGAATATAACCCCCCATAAGCTAACAATATCATAAAAGGGACAGCATAAAATCTCAGGTAAATCTGAAGACTGTGCTTATTATACATGCATAAGCAATAAAAACACATGTACACATCCACATGCCCAAAAAATTAGTTATAAGCACTTGATAAAAGAATAACCATTATTTAATTACTTCTAAGGATATAAAATCCTCTTCCATATCTTTTAAATTTCCAATAAACACACACAATAGAAGGTAGAAAAACCCTAAGAAATTGTTTTAGGAATCTAACCAGAGATTTAAAAGTTACTCCACATTCATTCTCCTTCCCTCTGTCTTCATTTTTGCTTACCACCAAAATAACTTCTCCCACAGGACGGGGTGGTGTGTGCCTGTAGTCCCTGCTACTCTGGAGGCCGAGGCAGGAGGATTGCCTGAGTCCAGGAGTTATGGGCTGTAGTGTATTATGCTGGTCAGGTGTCCTCACTAAGTTCGGCATCAATATGGTGACCTCCCAGGAGCAGGGACCACCAGGTTGCGTAAGAGGGGTGGACTGGCCCTGGCCGAAACTGAGCAGGTCAAAACTCCCGGGCTGACCAAAGTAAGTTCTCATTTTTTTGCTCCTCTTGATTCTCTTTTTCCACTAAACCATATGGATCAGCAGCCTGAGTTGAGTATATTTGCCCCAGGTCTGATAGTCTAAAACTCCTTTGGGACACAGTTTCCAGTAATTACCTACAGCTGCATACACTAAAACCCACAGATTAAAGTTTCCCTACCACACACCTTGCTCAGGGATTTGGGAGGTCTTACATTCATTGGAAAGGGATCAGGCAAATCAAAACTGATTGTTTGGTGGCTTGGGGGCCAAATAATGTGTTGTTTAATTAACTTTTCTATTTTCCCAGTAGTTGTGACTTTATATAAACAGAAATAATTTACTTAAGAAAAGTTTGGTGGATTTAATTTTTTTGTCCCCCAATAAAATGTTTTGAATGTAACCCATTTTCATACTTAAAACTTAAATTCCATTATTTGTATGATGTTCACTCATATGGATCATTATTTTTCATAGGGGCATTTGCAAAATCTAAGTAATTTCCAAAGTAATAACATTTTAAATATCTGGAATCAGTAGCAATTGAGGGAGAGCCATAAAGGCTTATATAATATCTCTTTACTTGGGAGGCCTCTCAGTTTCTAATATACGTTGGATCAACCTTTGCAGCCCTGTGTGTGATGTTTCAGAGACACTAATTCAAAAGGACCCCAAATTATATCGTATTAATTCTCTGGGCTCTATTTAGTTGTTCAGCTACATATCTTCTCCCACCCCCACCGTTATGCTGCCACCTTCCCTGGAGGCTGACTTGTAAAGACTAAAACAATGGCCTCCAGTGCCCTCTTTGGCTAATGAGAAGTCACACCAGCAGGTAATGAAAAAGGAAAAGTGAGAGCACAGTGTTTATTCCCCAGGTTTCCTCTCTGTAAATTCATTTCAGATAGCTGGATTCCTCAGCCAAAGCTTTGTTTCTTTCATAGCCATCTTCTATGCATGAAACATGTAGATACTATCTGAATAGCTTCCTCCCTGACTTCCTTCAGGTACAGAAGTGGTAACAACTCCCTTTTTCTTACTAGCCCAGGGTCCTACATTCTCCCTATGGTTCCCTAGAATCTGATTATATCTTTGTAAATAGTCCCTTTGGAAAGAGACCTTTCTTGAATTATCTCAATTTGAGTGTGCCAACTATTTCCTATTAGAAATCTGGTTGGTGTAAGTCTGTTTTTATTATTCCTTAATTAGCTTTATATTGACTACCATTTTGCAAAATTATGACTAGCAGCAGTGAGAATCAGATTAAGTGTAAATAATTAGGGTAATAGGCATGAACTACATGCCAATACAGAAAAAAGTCTTAGAAAAATAAGGAAAAGTATTGCATTAGAAATGTTTGCTGTTTTCTTCTATATATTTATAAGGGCCACTGAAGTACATTCAAGAAATAAATTCTTAGATGGTAGTACCATTTCTGGTAAACTTTTCCCTTTTCTCTCTGAATGGACAGCACTCAAGTTATACTGAATCTACCATGACACCCAAAGTGACTTTTCATCAATTTAATTTTTCCTTTTGAAAGATGTTAGAAGTTAGTTTACTGATATGGTCAGTAGTTTGAGTTCTTTGAGACCATTATAAAACTTTAAAGAAGCAAGAGGTCAACTTGGTGTGGGCAGACATATTTAGCAAAAAGGAAGCCTGGTTATATTAATATTGCTGGCATTCAACAAGTCAGAGAATTGTTTTAATGATTTGCTGATTTTTTTTATTTTTTGAGTTTTGAAGAGGAGGTGCCTAAAACCAATAGAATTTAATCTCTTTCATCTGTGAAGAACTCAAATGAGAAACGTGGTTTTTTACTTAATAGACAAATTAGTCTCTGAACACTTTTTAACATTTGTGTTAGGAGAAAGGGGCAGTTCTCAATATTAAATTTAACACTATATTACAGAATGATATAGAGTTACTCATCACAATGTTTCAACAGCATCTTAATGTTTTAAATTTAGTTGCTACTTTGAAATTATAAAAGAAATTACTAACTTATTGTGTAATGTTTAGGAAATTGAAAAAATATTATAATCCTAACTAGGAAAATTATAATTTTATTATATTTACCTCAGTTTTCCTATTTTAAGCTTAATACACATATAATATTTTCATCTATAGGTCAAGGATTTTTCTAAATTCCTACATAATTTTATGATCGTAATCACAATAATCAAAATATTAAATAATTTTAATAATTAATAGTTAAATTTAATGTTGTACTGAATGCCAAACCAAATATACAATTTAGTGAAGCTCAAATATGACTGGTTCTTGGCATTCTTACATATCATCAAGAAAACTGCTTGCTAGAGGGTAAGCATTCAATAAATATTAGCCATTATTATTTAATACTCAATGCAGTTTTTAAAATGTTGATTGTTTCCATTATTGGCATTCTTTAATATGGCATTCTCCTACTTCCATATTGTGAATTGGCAACTTTCATCAATTCTAAAGTACACTCTTTTCCCCCCAAATTTCCAACTCAAAAATTGAGGTATATTACATGACATACAAAATAGTTTAATTTTCAGAGTGTTTCCTTTTTGTG